CCAAGAATATAAGAAAGGGGGAGAGCACCACCAAAACTCGTAGTTGATAAAGTAGAATTTTTTCAATAGTCTTTTGATATGAATAGCCAAGAGATAGATACTATGCCAGTTAGATTATCTCAATCGACTAGCTCACAAAGGCGACCTCGAGATGAAGAACCACCTATACCACGATGACAATGGAGGATACCGAGTAACCGATTATTGGTGATTGTATTTGAATTCGAGCCTACTTACGATGGTCAACCAGAAGGCGTGTTTGCAAGACAATTTCACAATGAAGACACGAAAGTTCATGCTTGATCAGAAGTCAAAGGCGTGGACCTCTACCATTGGCTTCAAGGATTGATGAACCACTTGCCTCATGAACAACAGTTGGAGTTCATAGCAGACGTTATGCGATAGATCTTCATTTTCTTGCGTTGGTACTGATTAACAATAATATTGCTTCTCAGAGACCTCGAAGCTAAAAGAGGGAGTGATGTTAGGGACATAGTCCTTAGAACCTTCTAGAGACAAGTTTCTAGAACCTTCTAGAAGCAAGTATCTGGAACCTTCTAGAAGCTTCCTAGTTGGTGGAAGTTACTTGAGAAGCTTCCTAGTTAGTGGAAGTTACTTGAGAAGCTTCCTAGTTGGTAGAAGTTACTTGAGAAGCTTCTTAGTTGGTGGAAGTTGCTTGAAAAACTTCCTAGTTGGTAGAAGTTGCTTGAGAAGCTTCCTAAATAGGAGTATATATTAGAAACGAGGTTGAAAAGTTCTTCAGTCTCGACAATACATCCCTTGGAGCTCTAACTCACCTCTCTGGTGTTGTTCTTGTATTCATTTGATTAATCTAGTTCTTGTCAGTTCTTCTTGAACTTCTTGTTAGATCTCGAGCTTGTATTTATATGTCCGTGACACTCTGCAAGTTAACATAAGTGTCATGCAAAGTCAACACGTTCGTAGATGTCCTATAGAATGTCGCCACATAAATCCGAGATAGATAGTATATATAGAGGCAAGAATGAAGCCTTCTTTACTTTTGTCAATTCCTTTCTTATTTCTATTCTAGTTTTAAGTGTCTTTAGTTTCTTTGTCTTTTGGCAATATCCATTCTAATTTCTTTTTTAATATACATACTTCTCTATTTCTATTTTGTCATATTTCTTTAAAAGAATCTCACTTGTTTATTTTCTTGCATTGAATTCTTATCCTTGACAGTTGTACTAGCCCATAATATATCCATTTTAACTCTTCAAAGGCTAATATAATATATTTGGTTCTTATAAAGTATTATTTCTTCAATTCTTAATATATGAAATTCTTTAACAATAGAGCCTTAGATATATGGAGTCCACTATTCTTTTGTTAAATATGGATTGGCTTCTTTCATGTACAAATGAATAGTTAAGACCATTTGATAATGCAGTAGATCTATATTGCGGCTCCTCATACAATTTCAAAACCTGTTTGATGTGAACCAATCCTGTTAATTCTCATTTCAAATATCTTTCAAAGAATACAATTCCTTTCATGATCATTAGATCAATCTATCATTTTTATTAGACTTCTTTATTTTGCCTTCTACATCAACTAAACTTGAGTTTTTGTGTATTAGTTCTTTAAAGATTTTATTCTTGTATTTTGATAGGAGAGATTTTAATCCAAATAATATATTTTGCCAAGCTTTGTATGTATTTTTCCATAATGGAGAGCCAATCGTCGTGACATGTATTTTTTTTTTCTATTATCCAATATTTACTAGTATACTACATACCCTAGTATTTGTTTTATGTAGAGTCCATTCTATATCATACTAAGATCTTCTAAGGCTTTAGACCTCGGATAAGGCCTTAAGTGAATAATTTTGATAAGAAAATTTTGTCTATATACTTGGATCAAAGATTTTTAGTCTACTATTTTGTACTAGCTTTACTATTGAATTCTATTTGACCTTGGCTCGTGCCATTCTATTTGTAATCCCCCTCTCATAGATAGTTGGATACTAAAGCTCAAATTTGTACAAATATCTTATCATCAAAGTTGGCATATGATACCAAGTATCATGTAGAAGCTAAAATTACTTCATTTATTACTAGAATCATATTTATAAGGGAGTTTTTTGGACCTCCATCTAACTAGGTGTTTTGTGAGTTGTTGTAGTAATATGTTATTATAGTCTCTTTCAACTAGCTTATAATCAATGGAAAATCCAAGATATTTTATGGCTTATTCGTTAATTTTTTAAATAAGATTAGAACTTGTACATTAGAACTAGTTCTTGGTTGCTTTCTTTGGCCTACTTCATTGCTTCTGCAACTAAGAATACATTATCAAAAATGCATCTTCTTATGAAAAATCCAATTTGTGAACTTTATATCCATCTAGATAGATTTGGAAGTAATCTATTTGCTCAAGTTTTAGAGATTATTTTGTAGATAGTTATTAATAGAAAGATCAGTCTATAACTAGTGATGAACAAGTGATTTTTTGGTTTTGATACTAAAATAATCTTATTGATGTATAATTTCTTAGGTGGTACATTGATGACAATCACTTCATGAACCAATTGAAGCATGTTGGCTTGGATTCTTTCCCAGCAAGCTTGAAAGAACTTTGTTGATATAAGGTCGACTCCAAGGGCCTAGCATTAACTAAACATCATTGTATTCTTAAATTGCATATAGGATTGCTGTAATTTTAACTACTCATACTTAATTATATTGCTACTAAATTATATTTTTCCATGCTTTAACTAAGATCTCTCTGCCTTATTCTATATGGAGTTTTCTCTTATGAAAATATTGTATGCAAGGAAGGCTAGGGCCTCTTTGTTTTATTTTTAGGAAGATGATAGAATAATTTGATATTGATTTTTATCTCAGTTAGATTCCTACCATGCCACCTCGTGCTTATATTTGTGTTGTGACATATAATTTGCCAATTCTAATTGCTACTATATTGAGGTGTTGTTGTATATTAAGCCAAGTGTATTGCATTGGATTCATGTAGCAAAATTCTCCTAAATTAAATACATATTGTAACCTATGTTGAACAATTAAGTTGATCCATGCTTCATTTTCTCTTACATCCCTTCTTTTCTTATAGTGGACAGTCCTCCAAGTTTATACTTTAGATTTTTGATAAAATTAAATTCACTTATCATAATCCATTTCACTTTAAGAAGAGAGTAATTAGCTAGCTTTTCCATTAACTAGTCTTTGGTCCGGTATAGCTATAACCATAGATATTAATAATTCTTACCTTATTGTTGGCTTGATTTAGATATGTTATATACTACTCTCTTCATAGAACAATGACCCTTTGTCCATATAGCAATATCTATATTGACTAATAATTCCTATCTTTTTTTTGGGTTGATTCCTATCTATTGCACTCTTCTTCTTACAATGACCCCATGCTCACATAAGTTATATATTGCACTCTTGCTCGAACAATGACCTCATGCTCACACAAGTTATATATTGCATTCTTCCTTGAACAATGACCCCACGCTCACATAAGTTATATATTGCACTCTTGCTCGAACAATGACCTCATGCTCACATAAGTTATATATTGCACTCTTCCTTGAACAATGACCCCATGCTCACATAAGTTGTTTGTTATTTTCAGTGATAATATCATCGCAGTCCCTCCTGAGTAACTATCCCCGTAAGCTGAGGAAGAGCTTTCATTCCACAGCACTTCCCCGTTGAGGAAGTTTATGTGATCCGATCTTTCTGGACATTCTGTTAGTGTTAAGCGTACTTCCTATAGTAGTACTAAATCTGGTTGTGGTTGTATTGAGTGAAATAATTCTCGTAGCTTGCGTCGTTTACGCACGCCTTCAAGTCCTCTGCCGAGGCACTGGATGTTATATGATGCTACTGTGAGTTGATCAGACGTCAGTGGATGTCCGTGATTCGTTCTCGGCACCCAGAAGTGATTCGAAGGTGGTGTTAGGGCCTATGTTGTAGTTGATCGGAGCAGTGGCATGAACTGTTGAATGTTTTTGGATGCTGTCAAGGTGCTGACGCCATTCTACCGATGGTATCGCTTGTATTATCTATAAAAATAATTCTGCTGGTTCTGTCATTTTTGAGTGTGAGTTGTTTCCAGCGGACACCATATACCTTCCGCTCTCGTTAGTGCCATATCTAAAGTATTCCTAATTTCACTCCAAATTTGTCCAGGTGGTGTGTCTACTTCTCCTAGAGAAGCTAAACACTGTCCTTACTGTTTTATGGCAGTGCAATCACTCAGTACTGTAGTATACAGATGATGCGGAAAGAGCGGTTTCAGGTTAGCGGCTCCGTCTACTCCCTCGGTCTGCTCTTCTCTACCATTTGAGCTACTCCCCGGCTTGTCGACGGGATGAACAGCACAATTTGTGTAGAGAATTTTTCGGCTCCGTCCGCTACATTCAGGACCATTATCAGTTTTCGTTCTTAAGATAGAATACAGTATTTGCAATAGAGATGTAACAAAGAGGAAACCTCATGTTACCATAGGATATGATGAGCACATGGATCTTTCATTGTAGAATTGGGATTGAAGGTTACTAGGTGCTCCGGCAGAGTGCTCGCAGGTAGGGGCAGAGATGCACATGCCTTATTGCGAATTATGTATGTCGCATGTGGAGTGGTGTGTGCAAAGAACGGTCGGGGCCGATGGAACCAATTTTCTTTCTCATTCAGTGAGGGAGATGATGATGATGGTGCAGCCAAGCGGCAAAAATTTTCAGGTATAGACAAAATTCATTGGCAGTTAATTTGTCACTGTCCGCACTGCTGCATTGGCAGCAAGTAAGTAATAACGATTTGGCGACACATAGCAGTGACATTTATTGTCAATTGTAATATGCTTCGCCACACCATACTCCGAGAAAAGAACTTGCGTGTAGCCACCAGTGTAATCTCAAAGTCATCGGCACGGCGAAGGAAGACACCTCCAGTCGGTGCTTACAGATGTGGCGATTGAACGATTCGTCTTATGAAGGTTTTGAGTGGGATATATTCCAGTAAATTTTAAATTGTTTATGGGTACATGTCAAAACTGCAGTGGAGAAACATCCACAAGTTAAGGTTTCTATTCAGTTTCTAAGGCATGGGATCGTGCAGATCTGATTGAAGTGGCATGAAAATTGCTTTCGAGGAAGGCCTGACCCAAACGATGTCACTTGTACCCTTGGGTTGACATTGACCGTAATCTTCGGATTCTGAAAATAGATAAATACTTCCAGATATATGTTGGCGCTTATGAACGCCATAGAGGATACCCATTGCGGGTCAATCGGGCATATATAACAGATAGCAGGTTCATCTCTAACAGTCATGTAGCAAAAACTAAATCATTTCCACACTAATTATGAGCAACACTAGCAGCACCGGCACGCACACACTACAATAGAGTTTGTACTTGTCCTGGTTCAACAATGGACTAAGCATCGAAGGATTATGTTCACACATACTTAAAACAGCATTTACAAATTAGATCCAGAGATCAAGTTCCTTACCTCATCTAGCCGAAACTTGAATTTGGACTGCTTAACGAATTCTCGTTAGGGATGTTAGCGCACTCCCAACTTTCTTCGTTCGGTGTGAGATGTTCACTTCTTTGGTCTCCGGAGTTCCAAATACGTTCCAAAATCTCAATGTCTCGTCGCCGGCAGCAGATGCCACAGTGTATCCATCAGGACTCTGTCACATCACAACATCAGTGACCAATAATTGAGAACGGAGGCTTTTCAATGGTCTAGTTAGAGCCCTCTACCGCAGACATGAAGTATTGATAATAACGTCTAATGCCAACAAAACCTACCTGAGCCAAGTGTAGCACCCTGGATGTGTGCCCTGAGAGTTCAGTCATCTTCACCATGGACGGATACTTCCACAGGCACAACTGGTTCTGGCTGAACCCGTGAGAGCTCAGAATCTCCTTCTCGTGTTTACTCCACTGAAGAGCACACACCTGGGAATGAGTATCAATGCTGTTCACACACGCTCCAGTATGCGTGTTCCAGAACTTGATGCATCGATCCGCGGTTCCACCTCCTGAGGCCAGCAGGTTGCTTTGAAACGGACACCAAGCCAAAGCTTTGACAGCAGCCTGATGCTCGTCAAGGCTGTGGAGTGGGCTAGCAGAGGCAGAAGAGGCAGCTGATGCATCCCATATGTGCAATATGTTGTCATTACCACCGCTGGCTAACTGTTGCCCAGATGGAGACCACTTTAATCCGCACACCTCCTGCTCGTGAGCTTCCATGCTCCCGATGACGTGGTCTCTGATTCTCACGTCATGATTCAAGATAGCGTTATCACGCCCACCTGTGGCAAGGGTTGGGCCGTTCCAGGCCAGAGCTCCCACTCGGGCAGAGTGACCCCTTAAGGTCCTCAGCTGCATTAATACACAACAAGATGAGTTTATAAGGAATCGACCTATCTGATATCCGTAGGGACAAGTCACCCGACGTTCATGTGAAGACAATGATCTGTACCAGAATTGTCCGGGGGATTCTTCACTAGGGGGCTACTACATGGAGGGAGAGCACAAATAAATAGATGGGCAAACCTGGCGCAGTGAAGTTGAGTCCCACAGCTGGACAGTAGAGTTGTTCAGTCCCACAGCCAAGTACTGACCATCAGGTGCCCAAGAAACACTGGTGATTGGACCTTCCTCGTCCACTGTCACCAGCTCCTCTATGGAGCTAGTGGTAGCATCCCACAAGTAAACAGTCATTCCCAATGCGATAGCCAAAACATTAGAAGAGCTCCAATCCATTAGGTTAAGATAGTAGTCATCAACCATGTCAGGGGCATCTAGGGTCCTCTCAGGAGCTTGAGGAATGTGGCGAAACATCTTTTTAGGTTTGAACTGAGCTGCACCCACGTTCTGAGAGTACAGCGTTCGATTGTTGTTCAGGAGTCCTTCGGGGGGAGGAGGAGGCTTGCTCTTGAATGCCAAGATGCGGCTCTGTTTCTGGCCATTGTTATTCAAAAGACTCTCGGCCAACTGTTTCTTGTACTCATCCTATACAGCATGCTTGTCCAGGTAAGGCACAGCACATTTGCATTCTGAACAGTCACATTATCAAAAGTAAAAATAAATTAAAAATTAAATAAACAGAATCTGTCGAGACTCACCCGGGAGGGAGAGATTACGTCCATGGAAGAATTCTCCTTCGTCAGCATTAGATTAGCAACATTGAAGTCCATTGCGCTTCGGTCGGTGATGAACCGATCGGTCTGAAGGAAAGAGCAGAGAAAATTGATCAGCTCACATTCCCATAAGCATGACGTTGCACTGTCAATATCCACCCGCTAGTATCTGCGACCGGGGGGCCAAGTGCATTACCGCTCTCCCAGGAGTCTTGGCCTTCGGGGTCTTCTTCTTAAGCTGCACGGGGCTGACATTCTCCCTCAGAGATACACTGTCCCACTTACCACAGCTCACGCTGTTCGTCTTCGTCGGGGTCTGGAAGGACTTTGCCATAGACTGCATCTTGACGGTCGAACTTTACCAACAAATTACCGACCTCCCAAATCTCACCGCAACCCACAAAGCTAAAAACAAACTCGATATTACTCAACAAAGACTCAACTTTCAGCAACATACAAATCACAAACTTCAGTTAGAGCAGATAGAGAAGTCACAAGATAGCAGAAAACGGAAGTTATCAGAATATCGCCTGTCACAGATGGAATGCATAAAGTGTGAACAGTGACAGAGAGCAAGTAACAGTGGAAGTACCACGGAGTGTGCAGGAGGGGATGGAGGTTGATATGGGACGCATTGGGAATGTTCCAGTGAACGCGCAATTCCTAACGGCTCTTTGCCTTAGCCTCTACCCATCAGATCTAGTATCCGACGGTGTCCAGGATCCACGTCCTAAGCCAAAAATGGGTGTCTCCGAATCCACTGTTCATGGATGAAAGAAGAAGGAAATGAACGATGCCGAAGCACATGCCCAATCTTGTCATCTCCTCTACATGCCCTCTTATCCCACTGGACTTCTTGTGACAAGGTGGGAAGCCATCTCGACTGAAGTCCGAGGTTGCATCTCCTCGCCCCTGCACATCGTGTCTCGCGGCGCTGTGTCTGCATATCTTTGATGGCAACGAGCAATCAAATCTGCACAGGCTTGTTTGCTTTTAGGTAAATTCTCGTGCTTTCGCGCATACCTTGGGTCGGTGGAGGAGATGTCTGTGAGCTGCCGCGGTTAGCGCCCCACAATGTGGTATGAGCTCCTCTTTTACGTTGCCCTCCAATGCTCACCTTCATTTCAAGTGTTTCTGAGTGTTATGTACACAGTTTCGGGGATCAATGCCAACACTAGAATTATCAAATTTCGACTTTGCAGCCTTGGGAATATGAGTTGCACTAAAACTGAACCCATGTTTTGTTGTTGAGCGGAGTAATGGTTTTAGTTTTCGTAAGCTAATTGGGGGGGTTTGATGCTACAATGCTGTCCAGAAATCATACTATTACTTTCTCTGTGATGAATTATTGTGTCCGTTTGCTAAGAAATTCTGCACTTATTCGGGTTCTGCGACAAGGCATTGCGTAGTTGAATTCAGACAGCTGGGTTGCACACAAACCAAGTCTATGCATACTGAAGTGGCAGTAGCGGAGTACTTTAGTGATAGAACCATCAGCTTGGGTGGTGCAATTTTTGTGCGGAATGCTTATTCACGAAACGGTTGTGGAAAATTTCGAGTCCCTGGGTGCGAAGCAATCCCAGACTTGTCAGAAAATACTTTTCGTGTCTAGAGAGGAGTGGCAACCACGTATTCGGGAGGCCCAACCCTATATCCGTCAACCTCCGGCGCGATTCTCCAGTAAGTACTACCTGTGATGGCAGGATGATGTTTTTGCCTTCAATCTGAAACCTGTAATCTAATTACGTACGATTAAATTTACGATTATTGATATAAAATGCATCCATGTCTCATATCATTAGTGTCTTCCAGATTATCATCTTCGTAATGATAGCTTTAATTGTGCATAACTGTTAAATGATTCCAACCATGATTACCTTGCTCATTCCTGGTTCTTCGATTTAGAGCACAAGTACCTTTCCCACTTTTTACTTAGTTAAGCAGATATATTGGCGTTAATTTAAAAGTTCTTGAAGTGAATGTTCTGGCACCCTTGTGATTTAGGTTCGCGTTGCCGGAGCGGGATTCAGAATTGCAAGATTGTTGATCATGCATTCAAAAATATCTAGGCGTTATTGGAGGCCTTTATGCTGGGGGCTGGAATAGCAATGGACTCGAGATTTCAGCTCCTCAATTTTTCTAATGTAAATAGTGAGCTTATGGATGGGTGGAGCGAGTCAGTCTTTACATCTACTTCGTTTCTTAGGAGTTGATGCAATATGTTTGTGAAACACAGCGTCCATGTACACCATTGCAGTTAAAGTTAGGTGGAATCGTTCCTTTCCTCATTTTCTGTCATGATGTACGACGACAACTAAAAGAAGTATATATGTCATGCTATTGTTGATTTCTGCTGGATGTGATAGACAGTTTGTTGGTCAATTTTTAGGACGTGACTACACTGGTGATGAACGATGCCATATGCTTTTGACGTGCAGGCACAGAGGGTACGTGTAGGCCCTGCTCTCAACGGTTCTTTTTTGAATGGCACCGTCTGGCCTGGACGGCAGTTTCAGCGCTCATGTGTATACTCTTCATTCTTTTTTGAAGGTTTAAGGGATGAAAGACGTAATCATCTCCGTCGAGCTCATGGAGAAAAAAATGTTTCAGGTATGGTACAAATTTACACATGTTACGCTCCCAACTCTACTTTTTATTTCAAAGAAGTAAATCAATTCCTTCAACCTAAGATTTATTGGTTTTCTTTCACCATGTTGTTGAGTAACTGTCGCTCATCAAGACATGATGCAGTTAAATCAAAATCAAACGACTTTTTTGTAGTGCAATTTTTATTTGGCCCACATTCTTTCTTTTTGGTAAAATATATTTGACGACTGGTTGTGGAGTAGCAGCTTACTGTTGGAGATGGTGCAGGTGAGACAGATGATATAGAACACTTGTGGAAGAAGTATTTTGCTGGTCCTTTCCAATGGTGGGACAACACAGCCAACAAGGTAGTGTTTTGATGGAAAATGTAGTAAACAAACAGAAATGAATCAATGGAATTACGAGTGGTTAGTGACCCAATTGAAAGTAGTATAGTACTGAATTTTATAATTTAGGAGTGTGGATTGAGTTATCTCAGTTACGCCTTTGGCCATCATTGAATCATGAAGGGTTCAAGAAAATACTAATTCCTTTCCTCTTAAGTCTTTCCTTGGTTTTTGATTATTCCAGTGGTTACTATACACTTCGATTGAACAATTGGTAATGTGTTTTGAAACTGGATCACAGAAAAATGATCGAGTACCTGACTACAAACATAAAGTCACCGGCGAAGCTCTTTGGATTGTTGATCCGTCAACTCCGCAATGGGCGAAGGCAATTTATATGAAGGCAATGCTGATGAAAGTAACTCAAAGTGGAAGGGTTCGACTTGTTTCCTCGGAACCCCGAGTCTTTCAAGGTTCATCACAATTCGCAAGGTATTTTTCTATGACTACACGCACTCACATGGAATTACTTATCTTGATTGTCAGTGCAAACTTTTAAAAATTTGAAAAACCACAATTGCTTGGATGTAACTAATGTTTTTGCATGTACAGGAAGAAAGTGTTTATACCCAACAGTAAGCATGGGAAAAGTTATTCTCAACTTACTAGTACGAGCGAGTGGAGGCAAACTACACCTGTTAATGACGCTGGTTTGAAGCACTTGCAAAACGCAACTACCTTAAGAGAAGCCATTGCTATTCTCCAGAGCCATGTTCAACATCGCATTCCTATAGACTCTTACATGTACGTTGATGTTTTACAAAGGTGCCTCAAGCAGAAGGACCTTGAATCAGCCAAGCAGCTTCATGACTGCATTATCAAGAGTAGAATGGAGCAAAATTTGTTTGTTGCTAACAAAATAATGAGAGTCTACAACAGATGCGGGAGATTGCAGGATGCACGCAAAGTATTTGACAAACTTGAGAAGAAGAATGTCGTCACTTGGACTACCATGATCGGAGGTTATGCTGAGTATGATCGCACTAAAGATGCAATTAAGATTTACAACCAAATGCGCCAAGAAGGTGGAAAGCCAGATAAGATCACTTACTTGAGCATTATGAAAGCATGTGTGAGCCCTCCGGCTTTGAAATGGGGCAAAGAGATTCATACACACATTAGGGACAGTGGCTTTCAGTCAGATGTACATGTGGGGAATGCACTTACCAACATGTATACAAAGAGTGGCAGTATTGATGATGCCAGAATGATTTTTGAAGAAATGGTTGAGCGTGATGTTATATCTTGGAACGTCATGATTGGTGGACTTGCACAGCACGGACGTGGGCAGGAAGCTTTTGACCTTTTTCTCGAAATGCAAAGAGATGGGTTCGTTCCAGATGCGACCACCTATATAAGCATCCTCAATGCAAATGCAAGCACGGGGGCTTTAGACTGGATAAAGGAGGTCCACGAATATTGTGGGAAATCGGGACTTGATCTTGATGTTCGTGTAGGTAGTGCACTTGTTCACATGTACGCTAAAAGTGGTAGTATTGATGATGCTCGTCTAGTTTTCAACAGGATGATAGAACGCAACGTAATCACTTGGAATGCAATGATCGGAGGGCTTGCACGACATGGGTACGGGCATGAATGTTTCGCTCTCTTTCTCCAGATGCAGAGGGAAGGTTTTGTTCATGATGAAGTTACTTATTTGAGTATTCTTAGTGGTACAAGTGCAACTGCTGGGGATTTGAAATGGGTGAAGAAGGTCCATAGCCAAGCTGTTAAAGCACAGCTTGATGGTGACATTCGTGTGGGAACTGCATTTGTTCACATGCTTGTCAATATTGGCAGTATAGATGATGCCAAATTAATTTTTGATGGTATAAAGCATCGCGATATAATCACATGGAATGTGATGATTGGTGGCCTTGCACAACATAGGCGTGGGCATGAAGCGTATTCCCTCTTTTCCCTGATGCAGCGGGAAGGGTTTGTTCCAAATGTAGGTACCTATATCAGTATCCTCAATACTTGTGCAAGCTCAGGCGCCTTGGAATGGCTTAAGGAGGTTCACAAACATGTCGTCAAAATGGGACTTGATTCTAATATCAGTGTGGAAAATGCCCTTATTCACATGTATGCCAAGAGTGGCAGTATAGATGATGCAAGATTGATTTTTGAAGGAATGGCTGAACGCGATGTTGCGAGTTGGAACGGGATGATCGGTGGACTTGCACAGGATGGACACGAAGCGTTCTCGCTCTTCCTGCAGAGGCAAAGAGAAGGGGTTGTCCCGAATCCACTTACTTATGTAAGTATTCCCAGTGCGAGTGCGGGAATTGAAAGTGGAGGCTCATAGGCATGCTATCGAAGCTGGACTTGAATGTGATTTGCGTGTTCGCACAGCGCTTGTCCTCATGTATGCCAATAGTGGCAGTGTTGAAGATGCCCATCTTGTTTTGGACAGGATGGTGGACCGCAACCTTATCACATGGAATGCAATGATTGGTGGACTTGCACGACATGGCCGTAGTGATGAAGCATACTCCCTTTTCCTCCAGATGCCGAGAGAGCGGTTTGTACCCAATCCAACTACTTATTCAAGCATCCTCAATCCTAATGCGAATTTAAGGACTTTGGAATGGCTCGCAGAGGTATCCAGTCATGCTAAGAAAGCCGGATTTGATTCTGATGTTCAAGCGGGCACAGCGCTTGTCCATACATATTCCAAGACCGGCAGTATCGACGATGCCCGTCTAGTTTTTGACAAAATGGTACAACGCATGGAATGCAATGATTGGCGGACTTGTACAACATGGTCATGGGCTCGAAGCATACTCCCTGTTTCTCGAGATGCAGAGAGAAGGAGTTGTTCCCGATGCAGCAACTTATCTTAGTATTCTTAATGTAGCCGCAACCAAAGACTATTGCATGGATCCTGCAATGGAGCATTACATCTGCTTTGTGGATCTTCTGGGACGGGCAGTACACTTGGAGGAAGCAAAGAATGTCATCCTTAATATGCAACTGGATCCTAGCGGAGCTCCTTGGGGAGCCTTACTTTGTGCTTGTAGGACCTATGGTAACTTAGAAATGGCTGAATTTGCTGCTAAAGAGCGTCTGAAGCTGGAACCTAAAGACGCTTCTACGTATGTATCTGTCTCCAACATCTATGCTGCAGCTGAATGTGGGACCAGGTGTCACTGGTGTCCAGAATGATGCTGGGAAGAGGTTTTCTGAAACAGCCAAGGTGTACTTGGATTGAGGTTATGAATAACTGCACCGCTTTGTTTTTGGAGACACACTTCACGTAGAAACGAAGGAGATTTACGCCGTAGAGAATCGTTTAATGGAAAAAGTGAAGGCTGAAGGCAACGCCACCAATACCCGACTAGTATTGCATAATATTAATGAGGAAAAGGAGCTAGGTCAAACTCATAGCGAGAAGTTGGCTATTGCTTGTGGACTATTGCACACAGAGAGGCATAAACCAATTCATGTACACAAGAACCGGCGAGTGTGCCCAGATTGCCATACAAAACTCATCTCAAAGGTCACTGGACGAGAGATTGTAATTAGGGATCCGAGTCAGTTTCACCACTTCAAAGATGGTGTGTGATCTTGATACGATTACTGGTGATCAGGTGGGCACTCCACTTCACGTAGAGGATATTCGAAACTTCTAGCAAGACGCATCAAACACGTGTTCAGTTAAGATACTGCAAATCCTCCGTATCAACTTACTCGAACAAAAATAACGTTCCTCCTGGGTACCTGGATCAACACTTTTCTTCAGAATATTTTGAAGAAAATACAGAACTTACGAGCAAAACGTCACAGATGGGTGGAGTTTGCACAGTCGCTCGGTTGGAAAATATCATGTGATCTAGAAGGAAGTCGAGCAGTTCTGTATGCAATATATAGCGGATCGCCACACGCAAGCCATCGTCAAAATCAAGGTTAATGTCCGAACCAGAGCACTTGCATACGATTCGTATTGTTTTCTTCAATTTCCTTCATACCGTCATGCATTCGAACACTCCGGACATGGGTGTAGCTTTTGTGGGTTCACTTGGGAATTGAGTGCAACGTTAAATGCGAGAGAAAATGAAGGATATCCCGTGCTAACTTGCACCGCAACCCAATATGGTTAGGGCCCATCAAAGCAACAAATCTGATACTTCAATTCGACAAAAGTTTCTTTGGTTCATCTCATACTGTCCACTTCACTAGAGAAATTCTTAGTGAAAACTTTGAATGTTGATATTTTTTTAAATTGTATTAGTAGCTTTTAGGTCACTGATTAGCTTAAAGATGTATGATCTATTTTGTCACAGTAAAAACTGTTTTTGAAGGTTAATTTGTTTCCAATCAAAAGTTTCAATATTTGAAGATTGTATGGAACTGATCTAACCATCTGGATGGGAGAAAAACTGACGGTATGAAGAAAAACTAATGTTTGTCTAATAGTTTTAAATTTTGAAAGCAGTAATTATGCTTGCATTTGATTTTCTAGCAAGTGATATGAAGTAGAAGACAATTCACCAGCAATATTAAAAAGAATGATAGCTTGATTATAGCATTTAGCATTTGTTTACTGCCATGATACTCTTCTTAGTTACACAAACTTCAATGAATCTGGAGCAATTGCTTACTTACATGTGTTCTAAAGAATGTCAATGGTGTAGTGTAACATTATTTTCATTTGTTTCAAAGAGTGATTTTTGAAAAGTGAATATTTAATTTTCTTTGTAAATTATGATTATTTAATATGTTGATAAAAGCATATTGACATCATGTTTCGATTTAGAAGGTATTGAGTAGTTGCATTGATTTTAGCTTCAAAATTATAAAAATATATGTTTTTATGGTTGAAAAATATCAAGTGGTTGAATTATGATGATTGTTAATTGTAGCCTCATGCCTCTTTGGAATCAATAACCCTATGCATTGAGAATACAAAAGCATCCAGTACTCTGCACATTGTCTTCAGACCAGATACTGAAACTACGTCAATTTCCAACCTCCAAAAAGTGGTACTCGAGGCAACCAAAATAAACACATTCCTGGTCTCAGATTACGTGGAAATGCATGAAAGATCCATTTTATTTCACAAAAATTTTGCCCTTCAATTGCAACCCAGATATTCAAGAACACTATACTCTCGAAGTAAACCTTCAAACAATGGCGTTGGCGGCACTAGCAATCCTGGGCCACAAATCTGCGCATTCCTTCCCAATTGGTCCAGTAATAGCGGACCCTGCAAAAAACCAGAGGGCACTCGACAGGTCAGGAATATATTCATGAAAACATCAACTCGCCGCTTATGCTGCCGATCCCATTCACAAAGAATAGTTTGAGTCCAACGACGTGATAGTAATAAATTACCCTTCATTTCTCCCTTGGGGTTCACGATCACGCCAGCATTATCTGCACCAAATAAAGTCACCGGGGACGATTAGAACATCTTAAATTGAGGACTCACATTACTGTCATGCTCTACGACCAACAGCAGGGTCTACATATTAGGGTTTAAATGTGGGCACACTACCGTCGTGAGTTACCTGTCTCGGGGCCCACATCGATAGTACACACTCAGTGTACACCAGTCAGTAGTTTTGCACACCATATCTACATAAAATCGTAACATAATTTTCATTTATTAGATTGAGGGCAGTTACTCATCACACCTTCAAAGTACATGAAAACTCCGTCTTTACGCCTCCATGGCTTGCGCTGGCGAACAATTACAGCAGGCATAACCTTCTTACGCAGGTCAGGCTTCCCTTTCTTCACTGTAGCCATAACCATGTCTCCGACGGCAGCGGCGGGCAGTCTATTCAGACGCCCTTTCACTCCCTTCACGGAGATGACATACAGATTTTTCGCACCTGTGTTGTCTGCGCAATTCACCACGGCGCCCACTGGAAGACCAAGGGACATCCGAAACTTGTTCCCGGAGGAGCCTCCTCTACCTGCACATCATTAACCCCTAATAATCATCAAATGCATCACTTCAAAACTCTAACTGTCTACAAACGAGTACACTTAAACTTCTTTGCAACCTACGACTCAACTACATGACTTCCCAACTCAGCACTCTCTCCACAAAAACCACACCCAGGAATGGAATGTCAACTTAAACCTAACAAAAAACCCTAAAAAGTTCAACCCCTTCAATCCCACAGAATTCAAGAAGCATTCACAAAATTGCTAGAACGAAAACAGGTAAGGATTTCCCATACAGCGAGACACCAACAAGACATACTGCATCATGCGCACGCATTCTCGTCGCTAACTCCTCTCACTCACAACTCATGCGTAGTGGACTTTCAGATACTATTTAGCAAACCAATAGAAAAAAAAAAAAAAAAAAAAAAAAAAAGGTGAGTACAACAACACAGAGCCCGGATAACTAGACAGGAGCAAAGCACGTACCGCGCTTCGACATGGCAGCAGAAAAACAGTGCTGAGAAGAGAGCGGCACCGAAAGAGGACTACGAAGTGCGCGTCGTCTGCATCAAAACCCCCCCAGCCATCCGAAACCCTAATTCCTGAGACCTAGTCTCGTTGACGAACAACTTTCATCTCTTTTTACATTATTCATCCACCTAGCCAAGCGGAGCTATGGCGGTCATCTTCCTCACTTTTTCTACAAACAATGCTGATTCACACTTTCGCAGAGCATTGCTGGGGTTTGTATTTATATGAAGTGTTATGCGTTGGTTTTAAAAGCATGGCTTTGTTGTCGCAAACCAAACCCAGCTAGGATTTGTTTACAAAGCAATGGTCTTTGAAAACCAAACCCTAAACATAGTTCCATCTAAAAAACATAAGTTTTGAAGTTACCAAGATTGCCACACTAATTCACTCTTTTGCAAGATCTAGAGCAAATTGAGACATCAACAATACTAGTATGGTATGCACTACAAGCATTCTCCCTCAAATGTATTGAGATTCAATTTACTATACAACTATTCTTTTGTCTTTATTCTTGTGGGTCTCAACTATTTATTTTAGGTTGCAATTTAATGTTATGACTTGAATGTTTTATGTTATGTAGCAACTTAATGTTCTTAATTTTTGTTATGTATATGATTCTAGGTTAGTTTTAATAATTGTGACAATTTTGTTTATATTTGTTTCTTCTGATTGTTTAAAAATGAATTATGATTTTGAAGAATTAGATATTAGAGAAATAATTAATTTATTCAAAACAATGATAATAAAATCTTGGTATTAACTATAAAAGGACAATTGTTTAATTTTTATATTGCAGATTAATAGTTTAAAAAAACAGTAAATTACCAATGTCATATTAATGCTAGAGAAACTACAAACACCAGAAATTATCAAAGAAAAGTAATAGATTTAGAACTAAAAAATTTGCATTAAAAACCTATTTATTTATTTTTAGGTGTGTGTTTGTAATCGTCGATTACTTTTTATTCTTTTTGATACCAAATACAAACGTATATACGACACATTCAACAGAATTTATCAATTTGTTTATTTATACTAAAACAAAAGTTCAAACAACATAATGTTGTGTTTTAACAAGTATTAAAATGATTCATTATGTGAATTGCTTTGAAATAAGTGAGGTTCTTGAAATATTGCAAAAACTGAAGTGTAGTCGTGGCATGCACATGTGTATAAATACAAAGTTATCTACTGAAATTAAAATTCATATGAACCAGAAGAATATGAGAAATTACTGTATTCAATCTTTTAAAACCTTTGTCAGTATGAGATCCGTGTTAAAATTCATCACAGTGTCCTCATCTATTAAGAAAGTAAGAATTCAATAGCACGTTTTAAAGATATCTTATTAAGTTTTCAAATTACAAATAACTGTAAGCTATTAATTTTAGAATGTAATATCTTATGTCTACACATATTTTTGTGGATCCATCAGTAAATCTTAATCAATGATAATATGCCTTTTTAGTTTAAATTATTTGAGATTTGTGGAATATACTTATCTGATATAGCATACTATCTAAAATTCTAAATTTGAAACTTATTCAACATATGATGGAACATTATAAAATTACAAAAAGCCCTGGAGAGATAGCTAAAAAGAAGTCGATTGCCTCCTTCCCAATACAGATTCTACAAAACAGTACTGTAGGACCAACTACAAAAATGATTAGAAAGGGTTTGAAATTGCACCTCTTGACAAAGCCAAAACTATAAAAAATAACGTAACTAAAATATATATGAAAAGTAATGCAAAGAGTAGAAAATGAAATGCATTGTACACCTGGACGATTCTGAAATTGAAAGGCATAGAATAACCACACTTAATGCACACTTCCTAAACAACGAACAGGTCTGAACGAAGTAGTCAATAAAAACAAGAGGCGCTGCACAAAATCAACAAAAGAGTTCTGAGACCTCCACTGACGACGGTCATTATGATCGCATAAACAACAATGTCTCTTTAAATTTTAGATCTGAAAAATTGCTGATAAGACAGAAAGGGATGACATTGAAAACTGCAAGGATTAGCCGTCAATGAAATTGCTAGTATGGAACCCACAGTTGGAGGGTTCATTTCGATATTGCTTTGAAAAGCACACCAACAAATAAAATTATTCATAGCATCTTCACTGAACAGCAGCACCGTTTCCTAGTACTCCAGTGAGGTCGCATCAGTACCACGATAAAACATTGCAAGTATGTGCTCATATAGGACTAGTGAATGAACTCAACCGCAACTTTATAGTTCAAGTGTAACTGCTTGAAAAAATAGAAAATACTTCAGTTTAAAGGTTTGAAAACCGCGAATGAAAACAAACCACCTTTATAAAATTGTACATGAGACTTTTCATCTTCGTATAAAGGTTAAAAAATCTATGCCCGCTATACCACATTTAATTTTAGCAGAAAAAAGCAACATGATAAAAATAAAAATAAACTGAGCTCTCCCCTCACTGAGCTCGTACGTGAATTTACAATCGAAAACATATTTCAAGTAAAACAAATGTAGCAGACTTACAGAGTGAAGCTGTGAGACACTATCAGCTGGGGATCACTTGTAGAAGACCAAAAATGACAGGCTTGATAAAAAAAACAAAACTCATTCCCTTAAATTACTTTGTTAGATTTCAGGATAGGGAGAATAATAATTAAGAGCAGGATCACGAGAAGAATAATTGCTATGCATGTCCACTTGCGCTTACTTCTTTGGTGTGACTTTGCAACCCTCAAATGGGTGGTACCTCTCTCCACGTACGATGCAGATCGATTGACTTGAGCTTCAATGTTATTCAACTGCTCGCCCTGAGACTCGACAAGCACAGCCATATCCATGAAGATCTGATGCAATTCAAGCAGATTCTTCTCAATTTCCTTCACAGAGTCGTGCCTTTCCTGAATTTCTCTGATAGTTTCCATGACATGTCCTCGTCCTTGCTCCTGAATTGCCTTCTGCAAAAAACTCTCGCTCTGACCAGTCTCGATGATAGTCTCAATCGTATCTTCATCAGCTTGTTGCCCGGTCACAGTATAATATCTGCATAAATCACAAAATGCCTTAAATGAGTCATTCCTGCAAGCTTTCATAGGCGGTGAATTATAACGAGAATCGTAGCAGAACCACAATGATGAGTGCTCATTGACATCGAGTTTAACTACGATTTGCAAAGGCAATTCCAATACACTTTGAAGCTGAACTCTGTTCAGGACTTAAGTTTTTCTACATATGCAACCTAACGATCGAAATACCCGGCGCACATACCATAACACAGTAGAACAAAGCAGTAAATAATTGTGCTTCACGCACATAAAATGAAAAAAACATTATTGCTTCCCCCATTCAGGCAGCGCCAGAGGCTACAACTTAGAAACTAAATCGACAATATGTTCCCACAATTTTTATATATATATATTTGCAGAGAGAGAGAGAGAGTCCCGGCATTCCCCATCTCAAACTTGATGCGAATTCGACACGCGGATTTACGGTGGTTCAGGCTTACCGACGGATTCGCTACAAAACTTTCAATAATTTAAATCCGTACCACATGTCCTAGATAGCCCAAAGGTAACAATTCCATCAGCCGCATATTGCCCCGCATCCTTATTGCGCAATTGACTCAAAACCCGACGTTTTCAGAACGCGTCTGCCAGCAGGTGAGGAAAGGGTATGTGAGGTAAAAACGAAATTGCATACCTGCGTTCGATGGTCTCCCTGTACTCATTCATCATTCTTTCCCTGAGAACCTGAAATTCGCCCATGAGGTCCTTCAGCTTCTTCCGCTGATTGATCGTGATGGTCATTCGAGTCCGGTCCGTGGGCGTTCCCTCCTCGCACCCTTTAACCCTCCGGCTCGCAGCGTTCCCTCGCTCAAGAGCCTCAAGCTTGCCCTTGAGACCCCTCGCAAGCTTGCTCACCTGCGCAATGTCGGTGTCCATGCGTTCCCTGAGCGCCTTCATAGCCGGCGCCCGGTGCACGCCCTTGCTCTCTTCATTGGCCTCTTGCAGCTTCAGCAAAAGCTGCTTGATCTTGTCCATGTCCGCTTTGATTTTCTCCACATCCGCGAAAAAGCCGTCCAATTTCTGGTCCCCCCCACCCAAATCGGCCATTTGGGTACTTGGCCCGCTCTCCAAATCATCGTAGGCTCCTCCGGCCTTCCGAGCCGAAAACGTCTGCGACAGCAAGTCGTTCATCCTGACTCACACCAACCCTAGAAATCTCTTTCACCTCTCCAGCTCTCCAGCTCTCAACCTTCGAAAAACTCCCAACTACACCCACATACACAGACGAACAGCGCCCAGAACGAAACCTTCCCGCAGCCACCTGCGCGGGCAGAAGAGACACGACTTCGTCCTGATCCGACAACGACCCAACTCGGCAGCGGCAACAGCAAGGCCAACCCGTCCTAACAAACCCCTGTCTATGTTACACTTCTGTGCATCCGCGGGATCCCACATGGTCCCCTACGCATGCGGTTTCTGCCCGGACGCCCCGGGCCTGCAGCAGGCATCAGCACACGAAAGCGCCTCTCCTGGAGGACCCCACACCACATCTTCGTTCATCGATCAGCCACCTGATTGTTGCATAGATAGTGCAGCGCAGTTGTGTAGATTCCTGGGGTTACTGCGTGAATGTGCCCCGCCTGGCACTCACTGGCTCATTACTTCTTCATCCCTCCCTCCCTGGCCAACACCACCACCACACACTCACACTTCATGACTCTCTCACTCACACATACACTTGTGCTTCTCATGGATGGCATGAAGCATGTGCTGCTGCTGTTGTTGCTGCGATTGGGGTGTGTGTTTTTGAAACTGCGGGGGATCATGCTCTCATGCGGTGCGGAGTCCATTGCCTTCATACTACTTATCTAGCCATGATTTTTCCCCATTCGTGTTTTGTTTTTTAGTTTTTGGGAGAGAGGAGCTGAGGAATGTATTTTTTACCCGGGGAAGCTTGGATTGGATTGGATTGAATTGGATTGATAGATACCCAATTCATTTCCTGCAACAATATCAAGGATGGAAGGAGGGGAAGGGAGCGCTCATCTTGTGTATGTATGTGTTTGCATTAAGAAGATGATTGTGCTTGTGTGTTTGAATTCTGGTTTATGTCTTGCTTTGGAGATGTTTCTTTTCTGCAAGTTTTAATTAGTGTTCTCTGTGAGGTGTTGCTGGTAAAGTTTAAACAACATGTTGGTCAACAAGAGGACTTGTTTGTTTCTCTTGCTTGACTTTTCATTGTTGTCTTTTGTGTGAAACCCATTCTCCTTCTTCTGTTTTTCTTATCTTTTCTTTTCTAGTATATACACATATGTTTGTGAGTATAATATACATTGAATAGACTAATGAAGATGTAAAATCAAGAATAAAAAAAAAAAAAAAAAAAACATATACACTTGCTTTCCCCGGCATTGAGTAGCTCAAGAGTTTACTCTTAGGAGCAAATTTTATGTGCGTTGTTAGAAAAAGATGATTATGCATTCAGATGTGTGACACAAAGAATGAATATATATATATATATATATATAGTATTTCAAGCTGTAGTGGTGTTAGACTGAATTGTTATTCAGTCATTTCTTTCATACTTTTAAAGAGAGATAAGCAATCAAAACAATTAATTTTAAAATTTTGAATTATGTTGAGTATGGCATCGGATTGTGTACATGTGAGAGCCTCATAAGTCTCTTACAAAACATAGTGTAAGTTAAGTTTTTAAACAAATAACTTTTGTTGTTGCAGCATCTTCTGTGATATTTTATTTTCTAAATTTCAAAGAAAAAAATTTCGAGCACAAATAATTTTTTCTCAACCTATTTATTTTTTGTGTTCACAATGGATCATAAATTTTGATGTTGTTCCAAATAATTTGACGAAGACACACAATTCATTCAATCCGTTTTAATTTTTTGCATATTGAATGTTGGTTTCATTAATTCAATTTTTTAAATTCTTATTTCTTTAAAAGCATTAGGACTGAAAACTACCACAGCATGTCATTTATGCTTAAACAATCAAAGCTGCACATGGTTCTTCAAAATGATGTATTAAAAATCTTCAAGGTCAAATCATGTAATGAGATGTGTCGTCAAATACAGCAGCTAACTTACATTAAATTATGTGGATATAATATTTGTTTATGTTTGCTATCTTGCCGAATCATTGCATTGTCTAATCATGCCCTGTGACTTCACCATCTTTCAACTAAAATCACAACAATTTTAAATTTAAGCAAGGCTGTATAAATAAATGAAATAGCTACTATATCGTTAGTCGAGTAATTCAAACACATAATATCATTTTTTGAGAATATCTAATACATGCATGAAAAAAAAAAATATATATATATATATATATATATATATATATAAGTATTGATAATTGAAATCCATGCGTTTGGGTGAATAAAATTATTTATCGAATAGGATTTTTATTTTATTTTAAAATTTTGTATTTTTTTAAGACCCTTCAAATGGTTAGTGGCCACCTCTTTCCACGAACCATGCAAAATTGATTTGACGTGACTTGAGCCACATGCAACGCTGGTCAATTCTGGCTTGTGGGGATGGTTCCCATGTCCGTTCCAATGTTCGTTCCCATTTCTGTTCCCCACGGCGATTGCGGATGTTCTCGATGGGGAAGGGACCGTTGCAGGAGGGAGCCGTTGGCGGCGGCGACGAGGAAGACGCGTCGCGGCACCGTCGCGACGTCATCGCCGCCTCGCAATTCTTCGAGGCTCTGGAGCACTTCGTAATGCTAATGACAATGCTAATGCTCTCTCTTCCTCTGTTTCTCTGTCTCTCTCGATGTGCGCGTTCTGCCACAATTCTCATTCGCCCGCATTCGTCCTTCCGTCCCTCCACACCCTCCCTTCGCCCCACGTCAACTGTTTCTCATCGTGTCCCTGTGTCAGTCCCACGGGGGCCGCTCCCTCCTCCCTTTCTTTTCTTCTTCCTATCTCCTCCCCCTGACTATTTCAATCCGTCTCAGCGGCGACCTGGGTCCATTCGGTGTTGGTGTCAGTGAGCTTAAACCCGTTATTCTCCGAAACCAAGGTGAGATCTTGGCTGAACTCTTCCAGTGACAAGCCAACAGAGGCTCCTGGGTGATGAATACTGTGGGTGGGCTCCGTTCGTGAGCTCACGGTAATGCCCCTGTCGAAGAGGCGCACAGTGAATGAATGGTTAGTACTGGTTCAGTCTATGGCCGGAGTTGTCGTTTTCCGGGTGAATCAATTGGGTTCTCAGGCGCTCCTCAGAACTCGTTGTGTGTTTGTTTATTAATTTTTGGAAACATGAAGGTTTTGCTGTAAAAGTGATTGACTAAGAATATTCTCAGCATGGATTTGTGTTGATTCTATTAACGATCAAGAATCGCTGTGTCTATATATGATTGGGTTAGTGCTCGTTGATACTAGATTTTGAAGAATCCTATATCCTGCGCGGTTGGGAAAGACATAATTTGTTTCTAGTCATGTTTTAATTTGCCGAGTCTGGATGTTTCTATTCGAGGTGTTCGAGCAATCGCTTTTTGCATTCTAGCCCAGCAACGCCCTATCACAATAAGTTAGAACACTCCACATTCTTCGGAAGGCTGCAATGTTGCATGAAAGCACATTTCATTGCGTGGAATTCATCCGGTTCAAAGGTAGGCTGTGGTGATCAGAGACCATACCTTCTGAAAACCTTGGAAGCCTTGTGGATTATTTTTGCCGGAGAAACTTTGCGCTCCACCGTCCTGATCACACTTTCAAAAGCAATTTAAACCAGGCAATACTTGGCGGCTAGCCTCCTCCTTCTCTTCGTCTGAGACAATGACTTTCATCAATCCATGAAAGACTCGGACAATGAATTAGGTGGAGAATACTACTCACGGAGCACGGGCGCAACTAGGCAATCGATGAATGTGGCAGCTTGTCGTGACGGACTATTAGATATCGGTGAATGATGTGTGTCAGTAATCAAGTGCTGAATAATGAATAGCTCCCACGCCACTGACTTTTGATGGTGGTTTTGATCACGGAGCAGAATGGAGAAAGTTGTTGATACCATTTCAAGGTACCCAGTTATTGACCCGAAGTATGAGTTTTCTGCTCCGCAGTACGTGGATTTTTCTCATGAAGAGTCTCATGGGGATATTGATCGAGCAGATCAGTGGTTCTCAAGTGCAATTCCTAATGAAGCCTCGCGTAAGCTCTCACATGCTGTCCCAGGATGCTCTGTAGAAAGACTTTAATCGCACAGTTCGCATTTTATAGTAGGAAAAATTGTGTAAGCTATCACAATGAGGACCAAGCTTGTCAATCTGTGAAAAACTTCGACATTAACTGTTGGAATCTCTTGGAATGCTTTATCTAGCGCACGCTCCTAGGATCGGATCAGTTATAGAGCTTTTGGCAGCCAGAGATCGCTCCAGGCAAGCGAGTGACAAGGAAGCCCGCAAGGTACGTCAACACTCTTCCTTCCACCACATGCTAGAGCTTGTCATAACTTGTTGTAGGAAGGCACATGAGTTTTACTGCTTTGCACAGCATTGTGCTACGATTATTGGGAGTGTTGTTTAATGAGCATGACAACAAATTATATGTTTGTTATGCAGATACTAGCACATGTATCGCATGGCCCAAGGCAGACGAACGAGCAGGTTACGATCGGTTGGGAACAGTCATCGGAATTTGAAGTGGCACCTGAGAGTCTTATTGTCGACTGGCTTGGTAAGCCCACCAATCGAATTTAGGAAGGAACGCTGCTACCTGAATCCTGTTTGTGAATACAAAATTTCAATGTAAGGAGAGGAGATTGGGATATAATCGAGGTACTTTGTCTGCAATTGACTGTTCAGCAAACGCATTATTAGAAGAACAAACTGTACATTCCAATTTCCTAGTCTTTGCTTCAGCTACATTTAATGCTTCATTGGCCCGCCGCACTCTAGGTGAATTTACTGCTACAACGATTCCTGCTCTATCACCTGTCACTTCTCCAATGCCTACCAAGCGATCGTATGCGGAAGTTTGCGATGAATCGGCCCATCCTCCCGAGACTATGCGGAAAAAAACAGAATTAGCAGATATCAGGTAGGCAGTGATTGTTGGAACTATTCCGTTCATTCACCTTGATCCTCATCGTTTGAACGAACCACTGTCCAGCACAGTGTTCCATTCATCGGATACTGAACTATATGTATCGTTCTAACTCATTAATCAAACACTCTTATTGAGGGCCGATATATATGTGATTATGTATTGCTCCGCTTGTATTGCGCTCAGTCAGATAGTGATTCCAAGTTCCGTAGAGATGTGAATGCTCTTGTCTTCTTTAGCCTCATCTTTTCTGAGGTGATCATTTATTTGTCCCAAAAGTTATGCATGTACGTATTGAGGCTCCAAGGGTTTTTCTGTCCACAATCTTATTAATTACTTCAGCTTCATTAATTCATAAGATGTCTGCTGTAAATTTACCTTACGAAATCATTGAACATTTCCCAATCTACTTAATTGAATACCTTTTGTGCAGGTGGTCTTACAACGATCGGAGGGACAAGGCTGCAGCTCGAAAGGCACAAGTATCAGAAGAATTTCAGGCTGGGAAGAGGCAAAAGCTCGACAGGGGGAGGACGAAGCAGGTGGAAATTTGACATTACCTTCCTCCCTTCATTAAATTGCTCAATTTTCCGTCAAATGCGAGTTTCAGGACACATTCTTTTAATGAGAATACATTGAGCTTCCAAGTTATCTTATTTCACAATATTGATCGGATCTAAGCCATGAAAACTATCTTTAAAGCAGAAAACCCAATGGCCAGTCTTTCTATGGGGGACTGCAAGGCTACCAGTCTGACAGGAACTCAAGAATTTCGTATTTGTAAAAACTCCTCAGAAAAAGCGCTTAGAGCAGACTGAACTTTCCTTCACTTCACATAATTCTTTCACCATGCGGTTTACAGATTCGCTGTAGTTTTCAGCCTTAAGACACGTTTCCTGAAATCTAGAGTAATTTGGTGATTCCTTTCTTTTCGCAGATAATGCAAAGATGTCCATCTCTCCAAGAACCAAGGGAGGTCTCTCCATTCGTTTCCATGGCGGAACGGGTGCAGAAGTTTCTGCACAAAACTCCACCGCGCTTTCATGTTCTGCCTGCCAGAGTTGGCATCTCTCAGTTGTTAGAGATGGAGAAGCCCAAGTCGCCAAAGCTCACAATGCCGAAAACACCTGAGTTTCAGACAATGCGGAGGATTCGATCTTCAAGGTTTGCGTCCTGATACTTCAGAGTAGAGTTATCTCCTTGACTGGACTGATCAGAGTTTGTAGTTATATTCTCTCCTTTCACTCACGCACATTATGGATAAATAGTATCATGACTGTTTCGTGCATTCGTATTGGACGTCGCGACCATCCCTTGTTACCATCGACATGACAGGATTTATGCCATTCTTCAACTTGACGAAGTGAATTTGACTCGAATCCTCGTGATGTAGGTTCAAAAGTGCCGAAGAGATCGAAATTGAGGAGCTTGCTAAAATTCCCAAATTCAAAGCTCGTCCTCTCAACAAGAGGGTACGACACTCAACCACTCTATGTCAATATTATTGTTGCAAGATAACTTTTTTTCCATCTAGCTTCGCGACCCGAAGTTTAACTATGCTCTTGAGTTTCTAGGTTTTCCAAAGCAGCGGTGACCTAGGACTTCTCCGAATTCACAAGCGTAAAGTGACAGTGCCAATGGTAAGCCATGCTTTCATTTGCAGATGTTAATTGATGTTCCTATGTGGCCCTAAATTATTCTGTGGTGAAGGAGTTATTCCGTGCTAAAAACTTTGTACGTTCGGTTGCCATTTGTCACGCTTTCAGGAGTTTCGTTCTGAGACTAGCCGACGAGCCCAAGTTCGCAACTCTGTTCTTCGGATCCAAGAGTTTGATAAGGTTAGATACCGTTGGTGAACTGGGAACCATGAACTAGTGTTACCCATTTCAGTTCTCTTATCCTGCAACATCATGCGATTGCTTACGCTCTCATTAACTTGTTCTGAACACTTATCGCTAAGATGAGAACAAAGCTCTGTAGCACAGCATGACACGATCCAATCGAAACATTCACTTGCCACTTACGTAAGTGATAAATTATATGTGATTTAAGATGTGTAAATTTTGTCGTCGACGAATAAATGTATTAGACGAGACTTGAACCACGAAAAACATCGAATGGATTGCGAACTGTTACGTTCATGGTGTCCAGTCTTTAACAAATGTGGTAACATCGTCATGCTCTGTGACAGGAGCAAGGTCTTGTCAAGTTGATTAGAACGGTCGGGTCAACGGTAGAAAGAGAACAGAAAGATGCTGGAGCCCTAATTTCTGAGGTTCAATATATTCTTTCCAAGTAAGCTGATGTGTAATACGTCATACGAAAAAATCTGATTTATTTTTCCTTGTATGTGTCCATAAAATTGCTGTGCTTTTGGCAACCACTCTAATGCGGTCATCTTACGTGTGTGAAACTTTTCTCGTAATCAGTGCGCCAATCTTCACGCCAGTCCAGTCAACCAATCCTTTGGCTGAAATTTCTCAATCCAAGCTTAATATTAACCAACAAGCATTGGAGTATGAAAAAAAGGTATTGCAGTTGTCCATCACCATTTATTTGTACTGATTGTGGTACGGTTGGCCATTGTCTTACCCATGTCTAGAAGAGTGTACTTGTTCCTCCTTGAAGCTCCCCAGCATACAAGATCCAGGAGATTAGCCCCAGAATTTCATCTTCTGTAGACAAATCTGTGATCTTCGGTACTTGTCCCACATTGCAGATATCTTTTAGTTTATTAGTGACAGGCACCCTGCTTGTGCAGAGACTACTCATTTATTCTGTTGTCTGCAAGTTTGGTGCGCTTTGAAAGAACATATATAAGCATTATTGTGGTGAATATCAAGCTCCAAAAAGGAGTTATTCATCGTCAAAATGAGTTGTGTTAGGCATATGTATTCTTTATTCGTTGTTTATAGCCAGAATTAATTTGTCACCACCAATAACAAAATGGTCTAACAACCGTTTCTCTTGTAGAAAAAAGAGAAGAAAGTCAACAATGCCATGCGCAGAAAGGTGATTGCACAACCGGCACCACAGTTTGATGAACCATCCATTCCCCAGAGGTGTGTCACTTACAGAACTCTCCACGTTACATGGTCTACGTTTTTTTAGATTTGAGTGTCTGAAGAAGGGCCAAATTGTTTCATTCTTCGATTTTTTCCTATCAGCATGTAGTCTACCACGTAATTGTTTGCTGCAGAATCTAGACTTGATCACATGGCGTATGAATTATTCATTTAATGAGAAAAAATATAATAAACAAGTTCTACCATACCCAATTTCCACAGATCCATGAAGGGGCTGACAAAGGCAACACTTCCAATATTAAATCTCAAAGCTCCCGGAGCCGAACTAACAACTTCCTATTCCTGGGCTGAAGAAATTCCGCTGGAGCAGAAAAGAATATTCATGAGGTAGCATTTTAGACCATTAGCTGATTTCAAAGTCTACTATGTTTCCCTTGCTTGTATCGTGCTCACTCGATCATCACGTGAGCTGTGACTCGCCAGACAGACTTGCTAAATGTTACACTTGACATTGACACTTTATCCCTGATTCCAAAGCAGCTAGTATTGTTTACATTCTGCGTATGGTATTCAGTAAAACGAAAACACTGCACGTGTTATGTATAACCATCCTATAATAGTGTACATTTGACAGACTATTGATGTTTGATACCTTCATAATGCTCCAAAATCAACAACTTGGACGGGGGCTGCTTCTGGACTCCTTTGTCTGTGTCTGCCACGATGTCTTTGGATTTTCATGTCCATAAGTTTTTGTCTTGAAAAGCCTTTCTGTGAACTAAATTAATCAGTATTATAGCTCATGCGGATTAAGGATTCCTCACTTTTATTTTTATACTACGTAGAGTATAAAGAACCCATCGTTCCCCATGTTTTGCATGGAAGGAGTTAATGCTTATCATTCTGCTGCATGCCTGCTTTAAAGTAGACGCTGAGGGACAAGCGCTTGCCATCATCAACCGACCTAGTGGTGATATTGAATCACATTGATGTTTTGAGGAGGGGTGATCGTCTCTCGGTGCAAGTAGTTCCTCAGATCAGAAGAAAGGATAATAACTGCAAACCTTCGGTTATTTGTAGAAAATATGTTTTATACATGCAATATTATCATTGTTTTATCTACCGCATTTAATGATCCCCGGACAATCCAGAGAAATAGTGGTGCTGGGGAGACCGAACAAATCGGAGGTTAATCGGAGAGTGGATTTACTTTGCTGTGGGCATTCATGACTAATCAAGTGCCATAGAAGAGTCGATTTCATCTTTGCACTTTCCGATTAACCTTCGTAACGGTCAATCAAGATTATGAATCACAAACCACGATCGTCGAATAAAAGGAGACATCTTGCTAAATGTAACATTTACGTACGTTCCGTAGGTGGTTCGACCTTGTGTGGCGAAAATGCCGTTCTGAAATGCTTTGATGATGAGACGGAATGGATATTGCCAGGAAAACAACTTTTCAAACTTCGTATGGCCTCTTCCATTCATAATTGGCCTAGTCTGCTGTGACCTGTATGCGGCTCTACCAACTTGTCACAGATACCGAAGTCAATTTAATGGCAGAATCGAAGAACCAGGACCTGGGGGCAGGCGGCGCCGCACTCAGAATTCCAAGCGAAGCCTCAACGCAGACGTCATGCTAACTCAGATACAAATTTCGTCTCAACTTGCTGACATCTCCAGCTTCACCTTCATACACGTGACTGTCAAACTCCATACTATTCAACGCACCCGCTTCCAAAATCTGATCGGGTAGTGCCACAACTACATCTGTTTCATGATCGCCGCGTGAATCCTGAAGACTGTCACTCATGTCAGCTTCTGAGCAAGTCCATCAGTCTCTCTCTGGCCCCCTCGTCTCGAATCTCACATGATTCGTCACCAGTTCGCCATGTCAGAATGGGAATTTTGTATGACAATGATTAATATTCAGCAAGTAGATCAAATCTAAGAATCTATTTTATCGTTTTGAATACTTACTGTTATAAAAATAATTCTTGGGCAGCATGAAATATGTACACAATTACTTAATGCACTCGTATGTGGCAATCAAAGCATCAACACATCATTCAATACTAGTTCTTTGGTCTCACGAGATTCATATCGACATGCATTTAATATAAAAGATCTTATAAATGACAAAATTTTCTCTCAGAATAGTTTCACAATCAGCTCATCAAATTCGCAATTCAGCTTAAGATCCTACTTTTGTTTTGAATCTTTTCTTTTCAAACAAAGAACAAAATAATGTAGACTACTTTACCACTAAAAAATGCACATGCTTAAGTAAAAGTTATTTATTCATTCAGTTGCAACAATATATATATATATATATATATATATTCATTCAAAGCTCAAGTGTGAATTTTTTCCAAGAAAACATATTAAAATCTGATAATAATACAAACCTAATAATAAAACAAATGAGTTGTTGTTTGTTCATTATCATCATCAAGATCAGATAAAAAATCGTTTGGCACTGTATTTGATTTTATTAGCTTTCATAAATCTTCAAAAAAATTCTTTGTGTACATGTTTGAGCAATGATATTTGTGATGCACACACACACACATACATATATATATATATATATATGTGTGTGTGTGTGTGTGTGTGTGTATATATATATATATATATATGCATATTTTGAAATGTGAAGGAGTCATGATTTTATATTTGCATTTATTGCATGAGGTTAAAACTTTCAGAGCTAAGGTTTGAACCACCAACCTCATGGTGCCAATCTATCATCCTTTTGCAGTTTAAAATTATTGCACTTTGAATTTGTAATATTTTCATTCAATTCTTTAATATAATAAAATTTATACGTTTTTTCTAAATAAAATAAATAGAAAATAAATAAAATATCACTCAGTGCTTAATTTTCTAATTTTAGAAATCATAATACTGTTAATCATGTCCTGAGGTTGGTAAGCAACATTTTCTTAATTTGGCAAAATATATTTTTTTCTCTTTTCTTGTAAAAGAATAATTTCTTCTAAGAACTGGTAATTCTACTTTGCAAATTTTCTTACATTGATCTCATCTAATTGAACCAAGTTCTATTTCTAAGGTAAAAACCTACTTACACAACACTTAATCAAATATCATACTATATTAATGTACATCTTTTTATCTTTATTTTGTTTCATAATCATGTTATAATTCGTTCAAAGACACACATGAAATTTATTCTCTTACAGGTAAATCTTAAATAAATACACATGTAAAAATCATGTTATCATAAAGTGATAAAGATGCGAGTGAAAAATACTCACGAAAAATGCTTTCCATTTCTCTCTCTCTCACATACAAATGTATAAATACATATATACATACATATATATATATATATATATGAAGAGAGAGAGATATTTGCAAAGGAGCATTTATTTTATTACCACTAGAATCTTTCTATCTATCTCACACAAGAGGGGCAAATCCCATGCACCTTCCATGTTAGAAAAAATGGACATGTGCTTCACTGCAAAAATCGTGACCACCCATTCAACTTCGTGTCCAGTTAATGAAAGTGACTTCATCCGGAAAAGCACACAAATATGGTAATATATATATATATATATATATATGTATATTCTAACAAGAACAGAACATGAGAAAGGAAAAGACTTGCTCCCAGCACAAGAGAAGCAAAGCAAAGCAAAGAAACAGAAATCTTCCTGGCTTCTTTGCTTGTTTGCTGGGAATTCTTTAAGACCCACCTGGGGAAATGAATCAATTTGTGTGGCTGCTCCTGTTGTTGTTTGTGTTAACCTCGTTTCGCCTTCCATCCTGTAAGTTCGCTTCTTCATCATCTTCCTCCTCTTTCTCTAGACCTCTGCATGTGGAAACATGGCAGGTTTGTGCTGCTGCAACGACGTTGGGTAAGGACCACCAGCTGCCTTGCATTGCTTTGCTTCTAAGCTCAGGCGGGTTCGAGGTATCGTCAAGACTGAGAGTGAGAGAAGAAAGAGTAGCAAGGGAGCCACACACTCACTCTCACACACACACACACACACACAGAGGCTCACTCAGAGGGAGAGAGAGAGATAGAGGCAAGGGAAGGGAAGGTGAAGGGGGAGAAGGTAGCAGCACAACGGGGCACAGCATTGATGATACTCGCAGAAGCATAGATAGGCCTGGGGAATAATCCGTCATCACCACCACGCCTTGTGCATGCCACTGCAATTTTGGCAGCGCAAGAAATAAAGAAAGAAAGTGTGAGCTTACTGCTGCTTCTGCTGCTGCTGCACGGGGTAGAGACGAGAGAGACGGAGCAGGAGGAAGGAAGGAAGGAAGGAAGGAAGGAAGGAAAGAAGGAAAGAGGTGAGCAGACTCGCTGCACTCTCTTTGTCTGCCCAACAGGAATTCTGGTCCGTGTCTTTCTGATCCTGTTTCGAGATGGGATTGTCTTCTTTTGTGCTTAGCAGAATATTATGTGGGGAGCATGGTAGTTGTCGCTGTGTGTGTGTTTTTTGTAGTTGTTGGGTGCTGGCCATGGAGCAGCAGCAGCAGCGTTTGTAATGAGGTAGTATGAAAAAAGGAGAGGAGGAAGTACAGCAGAGCCAGCTGTTTTCCTGAGCGATCATCCTTTCGTGTTGTGGCCATTCTCTGGTCAAGTTGCTTTGTGTGTTTTGTCCGCTGACTGCGGGGAAATTAAAGAACAGTCCGTGCTTGTGTTTTGGTGGGATTAAGGCCGGTTTGGGTTGCGTGCAGGTCATTGTAGGGCAGCTGTTAATAATGTACGTAGACATGGGGGGGGGGTATAGCTTGACTTGGGGGTTTCAGGTTCGTGAAGGCACCCCATGTGAGATCGGTTCACAGGTCTGTTAGTAGAGGGAAGAAGTGGTGTAGTTGGAGGAATGTAGTTGGTGCTTTAGGGGTCTTGGTGGTATTTGCAAGGCGTGGAATAGTTGATAGCCATATCCAATTTTGAAAGGGTCTTTGTTCGCACGTTGATAGGTAGAGTGATATAGTAGTTCTTGACGACGAAGTTCTGGTAGGGTTCGGATATCATGGGGGTTGTACGCTTTCGTATTAGCTTGCGCTCATACTAAGTGTGAGTGACTGGGATTTTGTGTGAATGCTTAATTTGTACGTCAAAGTTAAGGTCTTCTCGACTAAAATTAGACAACCAAGTGTGATCGTGTGCGTCAATTGTTGGCAGTGAAGTCGGTCAAGGAAGATGGGCCAGCCGGAAGAAAATCAAGTTTGGTTGCTTGGCTGCAATGTGAGCACCAAATCGAGATGGATGCAGCTTCTTATTTGCGGAGGCGGCTTTTTTTTCGGGTACATGATAAACGGAGTTTGTGAGGTGTGTACCACACTAAACTATGTGCTTTTCAATTGGAGGGGTGAAGGTGGTCGGGTTCCAGTCGATAAAAAGCTCTCTGCAATCTGCCTCGACTCTTCTGTTCATGTGCAACAATGTATTGGTTAATTTTGGAATAACTCTCGCTGAAACTTATCAAATTTGGGCACGGGACGTGTGAATTACGAAGTTTGAGTGAAGGTCAGGACAACGATTCTATCTTGGATTCTTTTCCCGATCCCCCAAACAGGCATCTGTTGACTGTGCATTTCTAATGATCAAATTCATACCGTAGTGGACCGGGACGTGTGGATCTTGTGCACCGTAATGGAATATCTACGTGTACTTGGGTCTCTCTCTGGAGATCAATTACGCGTGGCTTCTTTTTGCTCTTAAGAATTCCCAACTTAAGCCCATCTGAGCTGGAAGTGGGCTTCTGCACGGGATCATGGAGAACTTCCTTAGCTTCAAGAGTGTATCAGCCTTAGAAGGTCTAGTCATTGTCTCTGATGACCTAGAAAACCTTTGAAGTTCACCCACATATTAAGCAGTCATGTGGTGACAGATTTGAAAAAGTAGGAAGAGCATATAACATCACCGTGAAATTTCTGACTGGTTTTATTCTCTGAGAATAAGATCTTACATTGGCTTGGGATTTTACTCAGGAGCACAAAATCCATCGGCCATATCAGAAGCTTGTGATGTATTGGAGTGAGATTCAGAGTGTCAGTATATTACCAGTTCTGATGCAGAATCTGGGTGCAGGAATATGTCTACAACAGACTTCAATTCAGGTCGAGCACTGTTGCACCTTCCTTTGTTTTTCTTAGTTGCTGTCTTCTTTGAGATAGTTGCAGGAAGGAAATCTGAGGGTAATTTAGCAAAGATCTTACTAAGTGGTTTGGACTTTAACTGTGCAGTTGCCTGCTAGCTAAGGGCTGAGCTTCACCAATCTAAAGATATTGATTTCTCTGCTTGACTCGTATAATATTTCGTTTATGCACTCGCAAGAGCTTATCGAGTAACCTCGAAGTAGTGTATATGATGCGCTTGACTACCCATAGTTTTAAACTGTAATTTCACAGTCCCTTGACAGTAATCAATCTTCTGTGCAGCTACGGGTGGTATTTCACATTCATTCAAGGCTTTGTCTACTTGACACTCATTTCGTGGCACGGCTTCCGACCGAAACATATCGTCAACCCCTGGAAGACTTACATTAAGTTGTCAGCTGTCTTGATGGGTTCCCAGGGGTTGACGAAAGGCTCCCTGATGTTCCTGAATTATCCTGCACAGATTATGTTCAAATCTACCAAGGTAATTCACTAATTTATTTGTTTCATGATCGCGTATTCCTATTCAATTTATACGAAGTCTTATTTGAAGCTTATAATTGATGAGACGTACGTTAGACATCATAGTGCGTCATACCGTATGCTGATGTTCTTTACCAAGTTGATCAAGTCTGGTTCAAATCGATGGTGTTTGGGTTTAGTCTTTGCCTTTGAATGTAGGCGCTTAAAAGCTTTTGATTTTACGGAATATCTTTTTTGTATCTTCTCTGTTTTCGTTTATCTTGGGTGCATTGGTATCGGCTGTGCATAATAATAATAAGTCTGTGACTCCGACAAATTTGTACAAGTGATCCTTTCTGAACGGATAATATGCAAGGGTTTGTGTAATACTTCTGTTAAATGTACTTCTCTTCAATTTATCATCGGATTTTGCAACAGGTCTTGCCGGTGATGGTGATGGGGGCGTTCGTACCTGGGTTGAGACGTCGTTACTCTATCCTTGAGTATGTTTCTGCATCTTTGTTGGTGTTGGGGCTTGTGACTTTTACTCTTGCAGATGCCCAAACGTCGCCCAATTTTAGCATTATGGGTGTGGTGATGGTTGTGGGAGCACTCGTTCTAGACGCGTTTGTCGGAAACCTTCAAGAAGTTATCTTTACTTTGAACCCTGCTACAACTCAGGCAAGGATTACAACATTCTGCTTCTTGTCGCCCTACCATTTTGCCTTTCACTTCATTCACTGCCAGTGTTCGTTTTCTTGTAGTTACTGAATCTAAACCAAAATATTTATGAGTAATCTGCTTCGTGACGAGCTTTTGAGGAGCTAGCGTTTGTTTTCAGTGTGACTATTTGGTATTTGCTTCCTTGACAGTATTCGTGTTAATTGGACTGTTTTACCCCAAGTTTTTGTTTGCGCATTTGAAGTAGTTAGAACTTTCCCTTCCCGTCTCACTTTTACTTGATTTTTGTGCATCAGTTGGAGATGCTTTTCTGTTCCACAGCAGTTGGTCTACCGTTCCTTATACCACCAATGCTCATTACAGGCGAATTTTTTCGTGCTTGGTCTAACTGCTTTCAGGTAGGAGGCATCCATCTTGCTTAAATTTCCTTTTGAGTCCTTTCTTGAGGATCTTAGAAACTTATGGTTTCTGAGTGGAACAGTTTCAGCCATTTGGACATTTCCATCCCTCAAAATAAGTCCGTCAGGTTAAAATGTGTAATATCGTTTGTGAACACAAATCTTACGGCAATTAGTAACTTCAGTAGTAGTCACATCAGGCTGAACCTCAGAAATAACACGTTGGGCTTGGTCTTGACATTTATTGGGGGAAACTTCAGGCGCACGAATTCGGGAGGTATGACTGTAGTGATTCAAGGACATAACTGTGGAAGGTTGAGAGAATGTGTTTGATTTATGCGGGGAACGGTGCGTACGTTAACAGCGTTGTTTGGAACTTGTTGTTCGCAGAATCCATACATATATCTTGTGCTAATCTTCGAGGCGTGTGCAACATTTATTGGGCAATTATCTGTACTTTGCCTTATTGCCTTGTTTGGTGCTGCGACAACGGCAATGGTGAATATACAGTCTTACTTGCTCATGATATGAATGATCCTTCAGTATTGTTAACGCTACCTAATGCCTCTCATTTTGTTCTGGTTATGATCAGTGCTTCTGAAATCAGTAGTTTCTATTCAAACTTTGGTTTAATCATTGTTTGTGTTGACGCAGGTTACAACCGCCCGAAAGGCAGTCACCCTTCTACTTTCTTATATTATTTTTACCAAGCCACTTTTAGGACAGCATTGCACAGGTCTACTTCTAATTACAATGGGGATCGTTCTAAAGATGTTGCCGGACAATGTTCAAAAAAGGATCATGTCCCCCCACACATATTTGCCATTAAAAACTTCGGAAGCTTCGACATCGCAGTCAGATTCGGATAATGACATCCCCAAATTAGAAGAAGGTGAGATCAATCGTCACCTATGACCTCTCTCATTGGATAGAGGGAATTTGCTTCAAGTACTTGACAGTTGAATGTTGCGCATCTAAACATCATCTGATTCCGTGTTTCCTCCACCATATAAAATGCAGCGTTGTAAAAAATGCACGTGGATCTGAGAAGGCACACCCACAACATTCTAGGGTGAACCATGAAAAGAATAAATCAAGTGGATAGTTGACTTGAAGGTGTGCTTAAGACACGTCTCCACTTCAGAGACCAGTTTGAAAATGGAAAAAAGATTTAGGTACGAAGGGACGACTATTTTGGGGGGATGTTTAAGCGGGGGCCGTCGTCTTATTTCTCATTTCTTATTTACTTTCAGTAGCCTATAATTTCTCTCAAATCTACTTTTTATTTTCTTTCTTTTTATTTAATTAATTTTCTTCCCAACTGTAACTAACACTAAGTCTCACTTTCGGAATTCCTCAAGGCACCCGATTAGATTTCTCTGCAGTTGGGGTAGTGCTGTTTGAAGCATAAAGTTTGCTGCAGAACGACTTCAATTACATTCGAACAATGCTGATACTACGTAGGAAAGAGCATTGAATGTTTAAGCACACAGTACTCTACTGGCAGTAAAGCTATTTGTCGAACTAAAGCATATCATACACGCCGCTGCTGAATACTTACCACAGGTCTGGCTGGACTTAAGCGGCCAGCATTATGAAGAGAGAACCTCTTCTTATTAGAAAAGAAAAACTGGTTTCCTGTTTGGGCTCACAGTGTTGTGGAGCGCTCTTGTAAGCCTTTCTTTTTATCAAGATGGGGCATAATCACAGATGTGGCTCAAACTCAATCTCAAGTCAGTTAGTTAAAATGAGTTCTTACTCCAATGGAACAGAAAATTGTCTATTCACAAGCCGAAGCATGATCAAAGAATTGGACTTTGTAACTCATTTGATTGAGAAATAAATGAGATGTAGAACATGCGAGGCCATTTTTTTTCATGTAAGATAGAAAATTTGACTTAACCGGTAATTGGCAAATGCAGTAATTTGATTTTATAAAATGAATTTTGGCATGATCTCAATGGGTGATACAATGAGTTTCCAAACAGCTGTTTGCGTAAGATAGATATAACTTTTGAAGAGTTTTATAAGAATACAAAGCTATCTTTGAAATGTAGTGATTTGAAGTTTTTGCATCTTCAACCTGACTTTGGTTTTCATATTTAAATTGGGTTCAAACATTTCTTAATAAGTACACTGAAATGCTTTGAGCCTTCATGGTTTTGAGATTCATCTTAGTTCTGTCCATAAAATTGATCAAAACCATCTTTAATGTATGAGGTGTACATTACATACAATCTAAGAAAACTAAATACAACTGCAGTCCCATCAAAATGAAAATTACCATAGCTGGTGTCCTCATATTAATTTCGGATTCTAAAGTGATTTGGATAGTGAAACTCAATTGTTCTAAGAGAATATCAATTTTGGAAACCCGTAATTCTTCTTTTATATCCTCATTACTTATAGTATTGAACAAATTGATATTTAACACACGAACACTAAATAGGTGTAAACTATTCTTTACTTCATATATCCTGTACCTACTAGTTTTAATGCATGGATAGTAATACATTTAAGCACAAGGATAATCAAACAATAAAAAGAAGTTAGTCTCCTCCATTAGGCCACGGTCTGTTAGGGATAAATAAAATTTCTTATAAGTATAGTACAATTTGTTAAAAAAAACATTCAGAAATCTACTGAATAATTTTGGTATTTAATTTGTGATATTAGATATTGCAATAATTTGTTATTATTATTTGTTAATAAGAAATTAATATTTTAAATAGAAGAAAAAACACAAGAAAAGTAAAGTTAAAAAGGAAAAATATAAAGTAAAATTTGAAATTGTGTGTTATGGTAACACCTATGAATTTGAAGAAGGACTCATGATGTTACCTCATCTTTTTTATTGAGTTTTATGAAGTGTATTAACATGGACGTGTTAAGTCCATATATTGAGCAATTTAATCAATTGCAGTGGTTAAGGATTTAATTTAGTAATATGATGATTGCACAAAATAACATGAAAGTACTTTTAAACCTCATACATTACACAAACATAATAATAACAATAATAATTATTATATTGGAATTAATTGGATATGTACTTTGAAGATCAATTTCTATTGAAGATTATGATATGGTGCATTTAGAAACTTTGAATTTGAAAAATTCTTCAAACCTTAAAAAATTGGATATTTATAGAAAAATGGTGTTAGATAATATTTGTTTCAAAAGATGCACAGGCTTATTAAGTGTTACCAATATGGTTGCATTAATAAAAACTTTAAATTTTTTAGATATCAAATGTTGCAACAATCTAAAAAATATAGAAGATGGTGAATATCTAGAAACATTTCTAATTAAAATTAATTTAACAAGTTTTGTAAATTTTTACAAAATATGGCAAGTCCTTGAAAATTTGAAGGTTTTAGAAGTACTGCTATTAAGCAATTGTATCTGACTTAAAGAAATATATTTAAAGTTTGACAACATAAAAGCTTTGTAATTACTTTTTTTAGAAATTATGTCAATATAGTTAAAATATCCTTGGAACTAAGCAAGCTATCATATATAGAAGAATTAAATCTTCGAAATTATAAAAAGATGAGTATAAAATGTAATACATTTAGTACATTGACATCATTGACTCACATAAATATGAGTTGTTATAAAAAATTAGAGGTTGTACCAAGAAAATTTGATTGCTTTGTATTTTAAAAATAGGTGAATTATATTGATTGCATCACCTTAAAGAAAGTAGATGTAACATTTTTTCATGTAAAGGATTTTTAAAAACTATATTTTGATGATTGTGAGAATATAGTTCAGTTGCCTTTGGATATAAGTAAGCTATGAAAATTAGAGACATTAAGTTTCATATTTTACAAAAATATAAGGATTAAAAGTGATGTATTTGATGCATACAAATCAATGGTCCATTTAATAATGATTAATTGTCAATAATTAGAGATTGTACCAACATAATTTGATTGCTTGATGAGCTTATAATATGTCTATTTTAATATTTACATTGTCATCATGAGAATTAATGTATCATTTGGTAGCATGAAGGATTTAAAGTCATTTTTATTTATTAATTATGAAAAAATAGTTGACATATCCTTCGAACTATGTAAGCTATCAAAATTAGAGACATTGAGTTTTATAAATTGCAAAAAAATGAAGATAAGATGTAATACCTTTAGTGCATTCATATCATTGGCTTAATTGAATATAAGTGTTGTGAGCAATTGGATGTAGTACAAACAATCCTTAAAAAAAATCTTATTTTATAATTGAATCATTGTAAAGACAATAGATACAATATTTGGTGGCATGAAGAATCAAAGAGAACTATAGTTTAAAATTGTGTTAATTTGGTTGATATGCCTTTAAAACTAAAGAGATTATTAAATTTAAAGAAATTAAGTTTTAAAAATTACAAAAAGATGAAGATAGGAAGTAGTGCATTTGCTATATTCACATTATTGATTCACTTGAACATGAGTCGTTGTGAACAATTAAAGGTGGTAATTAGAGAATTTGATTCTTTGAAATCCTTATAATATGTCTATTTTAATCATTACATTAACTTGGAGAAAATAGATACAATATTTGATGGCATAAAGAACTGAAAATCAATTATAGTCTAATAATTGTGAGAATATGGTTGACATATTATTGGAACTAAGCAAGCTATCAAAGTTAGAGATATTGAGTTTTTTTAATTGCTAAAAGATGAAGATAAGAAGCAGTGCATTTCAAGTTTTTACATGATTGACCTACTTAGATATGATTGATTGTAAATAATTGAAGATGGGGCTAATAGAATCGATTGTTTGATAGGCTTACAACATATATATTTTATTGATTGTATATTCCACGTTGTTTTATTCTTTGCACAATTTTTTTTCATAGATTCTTTTTAAGTTTTTAAATTCTTTGAATTTTTTGGACCAATCATTGGAATTTGCAGCTAAATTTTCAAAAACATCTACAATGAGAATCTATTTTTAGATTGATTATTTTTAATATAATAAAAATGACCATAATTTTTCTCTTTAGATGTGCTAAGTCTTATAATTTTTTTCAAAAGTAGGATTACCAAAACTGTCCACTTGTGTGAGCTAATTTTTAAATAGCTAACTCAAATTATTTCATTTTTCTAAAGTAGAACTTAAAAATCTACTTCATTTTCGAAATATAATTATTTGCATACTACTCATCAAAACTACTTCAACTTTGTTATTATACCTTATTATATTAAGTCCATTTGTAATCAGTTTTCTATTGTTTAACTTAATTGAATCAACAGTATCCGCTGAAATGTGGATTTTGTTTTCATATGGTATGAGATTTGAAATTTGTCTACAACCAACAATGTTAGACCTTTTTTCTATTGTATGTGCTTAAAGATGGGTTATATATTCTAAGACATAAGCTTGCATTAATGTCTTTTTTGGTTTGAAGCTTGAATTGTTCTCCAAAAGCATCATCTTCTATATTATAATTTGGACCATCTATGGCAGCTGCATTAGACAACATTGCCAATATAGCCATTGTATCAAAGTCATAACCATCAATATACATAAATAAAATAAAAAAAACATCAAAATATATGGTAAATACAATTATCATAATTAAATTGCCAATTGATCATCACTTAGCACTTACCTTTATTTCCTTTTTGGTCTCAATGCTTATCACGTTTTTATCATAAAGTCCTTTCATCACGTATTTGTTGTAGTCTGATGAAAATTTGAGATGACAATACGACTACAAGAGCTGGATATTAAAAAATTTTAAGGATTTTTTTTAAAAAAATATTTATATAAGAACTTTTCATGAAATATAATGAATTGGAGAAATTTATGAATCATAATTAGAAGTATTTTGGATGAAAATGAAATTTCTCATAATATGTACATATATTGCATATAGTAAAAAAAATACAAGTACATGATAACTATGATTTTTGTGTAGCAAGATAATTGTTCATTTAAATTTCTAAATAAATTTAAAACTAAGAAAGATTGCAAATAAATAAAATGCGAAAATTTGAATGAATTGTAACTTACTAAACTATGACCAAATGAAATGACCTGAATGAAATTAATGTATGCAACAATCTCATGAGGAAAAAACATTTTCATATGTTAGAACATCAGAATAGTATAAATATATAGTATGCCGAAGTAAATTTATTCTTCTCAATTTGATGATCTACTTTAAAGTTATATCATTTGAAAGCTCAATTGGACAAATTTTATGGATTTGGTTTACAAAGTGTTTTTAAACCCTTTGTGTTTCAAAATAGAATCATAGAGAGTTCAGAGTTTTTTGTTTGTTCAACTTAATATACGGACAGTGGATATGTTGTATGAATTTGAATATTATAACTTTTTTTAATGGTTCTTACTTTGGTTTTGGACAAGTCATTTTACTGGACTAAAATTTTAATTTTCATTTGATTGTGCTAAACCTTGATTAGTAGCATATATTCCATACATGAAAGGTTTAGAACAAATACAAATTTGTGGACATTGATGCTTAGCATTTCCAAGAGAATTTTCTACAATTATCATAGTTTTTGTTACTGCCGTTGCACTTTATTATCCATCATATGTCACCAAAGTTTATGTTATTGTCAACACAATTTTTGATTCACTCAACAAAGTTTTTTTTAGATTTTTTTATTCTATTAAATTTTTTGTTGATGTTTCTAATATGTTTTATTTTCAAATACTATGTGTAAAGTAAAATTAATTATGATAAAAAATAATAAAAATAATAATTAGTTAATTAGTTACCTCTTTTGTTTCACAAAAAGGAGATATTACTATTCTTTGAAAATATTAATAAGATATAAATAAAAATATATATTATTTTTTAAAATTCTGTTTTTTTATTTAACATTGGT